AGTTTTAACAATCAATGATAGACAAATCCAAATATTATTTCTCAAGATAGAAAAGCACATAATTTCAATTTTCCTACAGATTTTCCCGTGAGATATTTAGCATTTAATTCAGCAAAAATATCTCACTTGCAAGAAGACTTGTTGTCTCAAAAATTTGTCCTTGCTTCTTAATAAAGTATGAGCCAGAATATTTTCTAGTTTGTTATTGAAAGTTTTACTCAATCGATTGAAACACTAATTAGAAACTTATTCTGGATGCTTTATCCACATTTAGTATATGTGTTTTCATACTATAAGCACATGCCATTGTTTTCCTTGCACTTAAAGTCAATTGTAGTCCTAAGACATCTATTTTTGTGAATGAGAGAGGTAACTACTACAAAATCAAATGGATGTGTAAAAAATATGCATGGACACTCGTGAAAATGTAGGAGTATCATGGACTACTTTCCCACAACCAAGTTGAAGAATTAAAAAAATACATAAATCTTCATCTCTGGGATTACAGAGACGAGAAAGCTTTCAATTGCTGCATTCCACAAACCCAAATCAGAAATTTAATACTACACAACCATTCACTTCAAGAAATGTTCATTTTTCGTCTTCATTGTTATCACACAACCATTCAAGTAATAAACCAAAAATTTTCTAAAATAGGAATCTCGAGGCAAGAATTTTTTCATTACAATACAAAGAACAGAGAATAAATCTACTAAACAATACGTCGATAATAATGCATATTACACTTTGAATCGACCCCAACCAACACCAAAAAGAATTCCTTTAGGAAAATGGAAATTATGCATTAGTTAATGAGAACCCACCTTTAGCCGAAGCTCGATCCAACCAGAACACCACAAAAAAGAATTTTACTGTGAGAGGCGACGTGAAAATCGGGAAAGGAAAAAGAGGGGTGAAAAAAAGTATAGAAATCATGGTTACGACAGTTGGTCTTACAGTAGTTGGTGCAGTTGCGTGTGAAAATGAAGAAGCAGGAATGGCTGGTGTGGAAAATTTTGACGAATTTCAGGAATTTTTTAAAAAAAAGGAGGGGAGGGGATGGGAGAGGGTGGGGGGGAGGGGGAGGGGGAGGGGGAGGGGGTGTGGGGGTTGGGCTAAAATGAAATGTTAGGGGGGGTTAGGGGCATGGTTGGGTAATTGCGAAAGTGGGGGAGGGTGGGGGGGAGGGGGAGGGGGAGGGGGAGGGGATTTTTTATTACGATTGGAAATGGCGACACTACGCGTGTAGTGATTTACTTTGCTCTTTTAATATGTAGTGAAACGTGGTGTGAATACAACTATTTTTTTTATTATCTACAACAAATTTTAATTGCAATGAGAGTTTTCAAATTTCACTCATTTTGGTATTTATTTTATCAACTTTTTTCACTGAATTTTCGTTAATCTTCAATTAAATTGTAACATTTTATCTATGATGACAATTTTGTCCACCATTATGCTCAATTGTATTAAAATGAGGAAAAGATATTTTTTGTCGAACAATGCTTGGTGTACAATAATTTTGACATTACTGTAGACAACATGTCACGTGATATGTTGTCATTGAACAGTTTAAAAAACAATTCATCATTTCAACTAATATTTTTTTGCCACAACCAACATTGTCAACAATGTGTACAAAAACACTGTACAAATAACATAATTCATTTCTATCAAAGGTTTGTACTCATTATTTATTTTGCTTATTTAGAATATGGGAGACAAATAAGTATTTTTATACTCTTCTAATGACTTTAAGGATGGAAATCATTATCAAATATAAGATGTGCAAATTAATAGAAGGTTGATGCCAATAATGTGGCGAAAAAATCAGGATCATAAGCACGAAAATAAGCAAAGATTGAGAATGTTCGTTGTAATTAAAATGTAGAGTAGTTAACAAGAAGTGTGACGTAATATAATTATCTAGGGCGTGTTCGGTAGATATTAAAATCGGATTAAATTTGAAAAACTAGCAGTTATTGTTGACTTTTATTAGACGAGTGGACCCCAATAACGATTATATTTTCAATTTTAATTCTATTTTAAGCACGATCGAACACACCATAAATCATTATTACAGACATTAGGGGGTTGTTTAACAAATTTTTTTATAAACATTTTAGCAAATTTTGATAACAAATTGATAAAATGTGTGATTTAAAAGTTGTAATTCCTATGAAATGCATGGTTAAAATTAAGCATTTGTTTGAGATCCATTATATTGAAAAAATAGATTTTGTAATAGTGAATTTTTTGAGATTGGGTGGTTAAAAAGTATAATTTTTTTTATGTGTAAATTATTTTATTGAGAGAATGATGTTAAAAATAAGTTATAAAAAAAAAATGAGTTTTGAAATAATTGAGCTCAAACATGTGTTAATTGTTGACTTTAATATCAACTTTTTACCAATTTTACTCTAACAAGTACAAAATTGAACTCAAGTTTCAAGTGACTTGGTAAGGATAGATGACAAAACCGTCCAATATCTTAACGTCTAACTTTGAGTCAAATGAAGCCGTTTGCAATTTTAACGTCAACAGTGATAATTTTCATCATATAAACTGTAGATTCAATTATTTAAATAGATTGAAAACTCAAATCTCATTTTCAAAAGTTAAAAACCTAGCCTCCTTTTAGGTTTCATTTAATTTTCCTAAAATTATACGTTCTAAAAAATAAATGATTGATGAATGAGTAATGTTCGTTGATGTAATTAAAATCGATCCGATCAATTTGATCGGTAGAATAAAAAATTGGAGTCAAAAAAATCACTGAACCCGCAAATTTAACTGCTAACCAGTGAAGCGAGCTATTCTCCCGTATTATTCAATTTTATTAAAAAATTTTAACTACATCAATGGACGAATGCACTGGAATCAAAAAGGCCAATAGAGGGAATCTTGGATGTCATTTTCCTTTTATAGATGCACACCCCTCAAATGGCAGCACAAACTCTAACATGGGATATCGAAAAATGTTCAATTACCTAGCAAAAACCACTTTCCAAATATTTGTCTCATCGGTTATTTGATTTTGGATCAAGCAAAGTAATGTGTAATCTTCATCTCAATCTTTCATTTATTTAATTTTTAAATTAACTTAAATTGTACTTCATTATTAATATAATAATAATAATAATGTAAGACACTCTTTTCTATGTGCTCAAACAATTTCAATTTGAATAAAATTTGAATATAATTAACAAATATGAATTTGTAATATAAAAATAAAAAAATTATTGGTGTTAAGGTATTTTTATATCTATCCGTAGGACCCATGAGAGACAGAGATACCAACTTACATACAATTTTTTCAAATATTTTCGTTAGTGTATGATTTAGAGTTAGCTCTATCAGATATAAATGAAAATGATTAATAACAGAAAACCCCTCTAAAAATTGTTCATGCATGATATACTCCCTACCTATTAAAAATCCCATAAACCTCATATTTAAAACATTTTGTTCGAAAAATATCCTTACCATCAAGATCCGTTAGTTTAACTGTTAAAAACATTAAAAAATGTCCAAAATTAAAAAAATTAATAATTGCAGTTACAATTCCAATCTTTTTATTTTTCACACATTAAATCCAATGTTTTTATATGTGCCACACAAAATCAAAAATCTCAAAACTTTATTTTCCAGTTCCATCCACTTCAACTACACCCATGCCACCGCCTCCAATCACCACCTTCAACCATCAATAAATCTACCATGCCGCCACTTAAGCAGCCGAACTTGGTGGCCGGCATGTGACCATCAAGAAACCCTATGAGAAAAAGTGGCCAATTTCTGACAACTCAAATGGAGTTCAAAATGAAAATGGAAAGTGTCCAACATTTCACAAAAAAACCTATATGAACAATTCAAACCTATCTATACAAAACCTTAGGGGCCGTTCTTTTCGTGTTTCAGTTTTATATTTTGAATTTTCAATTCATTTTGATTTTTTGTTTTGAATGTCTATTTTGAAATT